TAATTATTATTGTACTTATTTTGTGTTTAAATGTTTTTCAGTTCACAGTGCTGAGAATATCACAACACAAAATCTTTATTTTTCTAAATTGTTGACATGGATCCCTCATATCTGTCTTCAGGTGGTAGCAAATGCATCTGGCTGTGGCCTTGAAAGCACAGAGATGTTCACTAATTGCATGAGAAACCTGGATAGTGGAAGTATTGTGACTATTGGAAAGGTGAGACCCTGCGTGTAAAGCTGATACCGGCTGACTTGGTGGGATTAGTTGAGCCTCTAATGTCTTCTGCAAGATTTCTGTGACATATTTGCTTTTTTTTCAACCTTTTGTTTTATACATTTTATTCCCTCAAGGATGACAAATCAATGTTTCCATTAGTCATTGATGGACACTTCCTGACAAAACCTGTGGACGAGCTGTTTCATAAACATGAACTTCTCACTTTGCCATTTATGACTGGTGTTAATAATGATGAAGGGGGCTGGATACTTACTGCGGTAAGTGTGAATGCTGCACTGAAATTTGTGCAACTGAATAGTTTACTGATTTTTTTACATGAGTCTATGAAAGTTATGTCTAAAAATTAGTTAATTGCAGCTGTGTCTTCCTTAGTTTTTTGCTCCTCAAAACTGGACAGAAGGATTGACTCGGGAGGAGGTTTTACACATGCTGTCAGCCTGGATGTCTGATGTAAGACCAACACTCCCTGTCATTACAGTATTGCTGTTCTTTCTCACGCTCAAGCTTGTCTGACAGATGTGTCACTCATTTTCTCAAGCCCAAATACACAATCTTCAGAGAATTGTTGATTGAGGAATATCTTGGAATCGGTGATGATCGTGTAAAAAACAGAGAAGGAATCACTGAGCTGCTTGGAGATGTGTTATTTAACATTCCAGCCATTAAGACTGCTAATTCCCACAGAGGTAAATGCTTTTGTGTATGATTAATATTTTCTGACACATAAACAAGACATATCACACCCATTTGTCTGCCACTAGATGCCGGGGCACCTGTATACCTGTATGAGTACCAGCATCCTCCCAAATTCCTTCAGGTAAAAAGGCCAAGCTTTGTTGGGACTGACCATGGAGATGAAATCTTTACAGTTTTAGGATTTTGCTTCACAACTACCCATGTCAAATTAGCTGGTGAGTGCAAGATAAAATCAGTGTTTCGATAGACCACCAGATGTCTGC